CCAGCGCTGCCTCCGTCGGGACGGGCGACGAGCGGGGGGGGGGGGGGTGGCCCAGAGCCCTGCAGCGCTGCCTGGAGGTGACTCAGGGCTATCCTTGCTGCTCCCAGAGGGGACGCCGGCTACTTAAACCTGACAGGGGGTTTGAGGAATTGCTGCTCTATTTTTACACATTTATTTCTTTGCATTTCCAACAAGCAGGGACAGCTCACCTTCAGAGCCACCTTGGGAAGCAGAAAGACGGTCATTTCCATAAAAAAAAATCTCTTCCCAGGGAAGAGGCTGGATCTCACCCTCTGCCCCCGTCAAGCCAGGGGCCGCTGACAAGTGGTCCCTGGGCAAAGCCAGACCACGGGGGTGCCTGTTAGGGCCACGTGGTATTTAAAACGTACCTTATTTGCCCGACTATATTTTCAAATTGGGAGATGTCATGTTAAAATCTAGAATAGCCAGATTCTCTGAGAAATTAAGAAAGGAGTCACTGCAGAGGGTGGGGGTGGGGGAGTTTATCCTGAGCTGTGGAGAGACAGCCATGCCTGGAGACAGGACACAGGGGGACTCACTCCCCTGGCCGCCTGGCCTGCCACCCTCGCTGCCCATTTGGCCCCTTAAGGCATCAGAGTGTGCTCCCCACCCTAACCCAAGAAGTCCGCACGCAGTGACCCCTCCTGACATTCTCCGTGGGGGGCTTCAGGGCTGCCATCAGGCCAGAGCTGGCTGGGGGACGTCTTGCAGCTGCTTCTGCCAAGCAAGCACAGGTTTTAACTACGTTGTATGTTGTAGGTCCATTAAAAGCAGTAATGTTTTCTAAGAACGCAGCAGAAATGTTAATTTCGCCACAAGCGTAATGATTCTTATCATTATCTCGACCACGGTCATTTTGGGGGGATGGCTTGGACATTAAGGCCCAGCCCCTACAGAGATGCCCCCAAATCCAAAGTCAAAGTGCAGATCAAGGGAGGACAGGGCCCCTCAGGGGCCCTCACCACCCTCATTATTGTCCCCATTTTAGCATCAAGGAACCCCAGGACCAGAAAGTTTAAGGGACTCAGACAAGTCACAACACAGAGGGGCAGGGACCCAGCCCAAGTCATGGGATCCAAAGTTGTTAACATGCCCCGAGAGTGACCCGTGTACTTCACTGGCAGCACGGGATGGTGTGGGGAAAGTGAAACTAGTAGAACCAAGCAGGTTTATCTGGAGAAGAGAAACCCCGGGGTCTGGAGTCTGCAAACCCCTTGGGAGCATGATGCGGCAGGTGCCACCTGCTCTGGAGGTTCAGGGGCGCCTGGGTGCTTGCTTTCCCTGTGCAAATCCCACGCCCAGGCTTTGCTGCACTGGCCTCTCCTGGGATGCTCTTCCTCCTACTGCTGCTCCTGCCCAAATGTAGCCCCTCCCATCAGGACCAGCAGGAGCTCCCCAGAGGTCTAGAGGGAAGGGGACCCGCAGCCCTTGGTGCCAGGGCCCCACTGCCTCCTGCACTGCCTCCTGCGCCAGACTGGATGTGTTTGGACCCCATCTGCCTCCTCCAGCTACACGCCTGCAAGTGGGAAGAGGGGCACAGAGCCTTGAGAAGCCACCGCTCAGTGGCGAGGAAGATCGCTGTCCGCTTTCCGCGGAATGATCTTCCCTTCATTCCTCACTGGACCTACTCCCTGTCATCCATCAGGTGTCAGCCGAAATGTCCCCTCCTCAGGGGAACTTGCCTTATTTCTTTATAAATTAAAATAGGTTCTTCCTTCCCTCAGTATCTCCCTGACAGCATCTTCCTTTCTTCTTTCATGAATACACCACCATTTGCAGCTCAGATCTCATACGTGATTTGCTGGGGCATTAACTGTCTTCCCCTCCCTGGGTAGAGGCCCCCCCGGAAGGCAGGGGCCCAGGGTCTCGGGTGCCTCGGTTTCCCCCGTGCCTCACTGGTAACCGCAGGGCTGTGAGGGACAGGAGCCAGCACAGGGATGCAATGGGAGGCACTCAGGGCCAACAGTGGGGAGGCAGGGGGTCCCCGTGGGAGCCGGAAGCTGGGTTGGAAGGAGACGCAGGTTCAGCAGGGCTGGCCAGCCCAGGCTTGACGGGGTGCGGTGGGGCGGGAAGCCAGAGCAAAAGTGAGGTGACTGGCAGAGGAGCAGGAGCTGGCACAAAATCCTGCTGTAAATTACTAACACAAGGCATAACCAAAACCAAATGACCCAGGAGGAGTTAAAACAAATGGGGCGAAGACAGAGGTGCCATGCTAATTGCCAACAAAAAGAAACCAGGCGTAACGACATTTATGAGATAAAATATAATCCAAGACATTAAAGGGGCAAACTGACAAACAATTCACTGAGAAGATGCAAAAGTCCCGAAGCTCGACTCACCTGACAGAGCTTCAACCTGATACAAGGAGAAACAGACAGAGCCACAGTTCTTTGTGCATTTCAATGCCTTTATTCCAGAAAAAACACACGAAGTAGATAAAACATTAGGTAGGGCTGTCGGCTACCATTTGAAGGACTGAAACCTAACGTTAGGACTGACCTAACGTTTAAGCCTAACAACCAGAAAGATGAGTCCTGTTCAAGCACACGCGGAACACATTCCAAATCTGACTGTACATTCGGACAAAAAGAAAACTTAAAAACCGTGTCCACGGCCGCTAGCACAGAGCAAAGCCAGAGCAAAGCCAGAGCAAAACCAGACCAAACACGAAGGCAAGCCCTAAAACCCTGAGCACCAGCCATGAGAAATGCTGTTCTAATTGCCCAGACCAAGAAGAGAGTATCAATTCCAATGGTCAGCTCAAGTAGAAAAACCTGAGTAAACCTTAGAAGAAATGGAGAAAGTAGTCAAAGAAAAGCCCAGAAGGTTTTACAGAAGAGTTTTACCAAACTTACAAGGAATAGTTAATTCTCATCTTACACAGAATCGGTACACGAAGGTCAATGCCTTTCTTGTACATAACAGTGACTGGCCAGGAAACAGAATGAGAAAACACGGCTATTCAACCACAGGAACAAACTCCACAAAATGTCTAGGAAGAGACAAAAATAATGAATGTATGCAGACCACACAAAGAGTAAATCAATACAGCGCAAGCCCTCCCGCAAAACAAAAGACCTCAGTAAACGGAGACATGACGACACTCTCCTGGATTGCAAGCTGATTCTTCTCCAGAGTAACCCGTAATTTTAACACAATCTCCATCAAAAAATTGTTAAAATCCAACAGAATAATTACAAAATTCAACTGGAAGACTATGTATGAGAGACTAGCCAGGAAAAGTATTTAAGAACAATAATGAGGAGGTACTTACCCTTTCAAGTTCACAGAACGTATTGCAAGATAACATTAGTTAGA